CCTAAACTATTGTGTAAACCAAGCGTGTTTTTAATTTATTTTGTTGCTTTGAAATTTATGTACAGAGTACTGTACTCTCTTTTACTGTACTTTTTTAAAAAGCTACCGTATATTGATACTCTGTACTCCATGTACTAGTACTTGCATTTATTTTTGTATATTGTTGTGCTTTGTTTTGTATTACTTTTGCATTCTTTTTGCGATGTTCGATGCCATCAGATTTTCTGAAAGGACACAAATGAATAAATCTTGAATCTTGATGGAAAATTGTCCGTATCATATGAAGTTACGCTAAGGCTTTTAAAGAATGTGAACATTTTGCTGTGTATACTGTATTTGTTCTGAATTGATTTAACAGATGTCTCTAATTTCCAATTCGTTATGCTAATTTTGTTGTAGTTTTAATTCATACTTATGAAAGCAAAACAAATACATGCAATCGAGAAATAATTTACATAATAAATTCGAAAGTGTGTACCAAGTTGATGTTCATTGAAAACCAAGCACAAAGATTGACGTAGATAGACACTGTTGTTTGTTGCACAAATATTTGATGTTACGGAAAATTGCATGGACCTATATTAAATAGTTTCATTTGTCAAGAGGAACCAATTAACTTCGTTGTTACTATGGATAATTTGATGTTATTTGTTATCTTTTTATTATTTTTTGTGCTCAATTATGTATTTCGAGGGAACGAAATATTATTTCGAGGTAACGAAATCATTTCGAGGGAACGAAATAATATTTCGTTCGAACGAAATATTATTTTGAGGGAACGAAATCATTTTGCTCCCTCGAAATATTATTTTGTTCCCTCGAAATATTATTTCGTTTCCTTGAAATAATATTTCGTTCCCTCGAAATATTATTTCGTTCCCTCGAAATATTATTTCGTTCCCTCGAAGTAATATTTCGTTCCCTCGAAATACTATTTCGTTCCCTCGAAATAATATTTCGTGTACGGTACGCCCACAGTGCCTTCTGCGTCGGCTGTTGGTCAGTGGTGGCGCCAGGATTTGCCCGACGGGCGGGGGGGGGG